CTATTCATAATTCCGTACTATTAGTAAGTGTAGATTGTTACCTTCTTATTTGCAATCAATTGCTCATTAGCAACACCAAAATATTACAGTAAACCCTAGGGAATGCGTGTCTATTAAATATCTCATTCACATTCAATCAATACTTAAAATCTAATTCAACTTCAACTTAGTTGTTGACATAAAAATCATCTCATAAACTGAATTGGTGACACATGTATTATTTGAAGAGGAAAACAAAAAAACTTAGGTGAGAGGGAGTGCGTCTGCCGAATGAGTGAGCCGACCTCAAGGTGTAGACCGACCTCAGTCAAGTCGTAACCCCGAAGGACCGACGTCACCAGCCGCCGACCGCATTAAATGCCGTCCATCAGACGTCTCGGCCCACGTGAAAGCCATTATTGCCAAGGGACCCACTCACTGAAAAGTTGAACCTACCCTGCCACAACGCATTAATGCCGCCGAATCCCCTCCAAAAATGAGCCAAAAGTTACTATAAATACCAGAATTAAATTAGATACGAGGATCCTTTTCCGACACATTCAATTCTGCATTTATCACCTCGGTATTAAGAAAAACCGACCTCCCACATAGAAAACCGACATCCTGTATGAAATACCGACCTCCCCCGTAGAAACCGACATCCTGTATGAAATACCGACCTACGACATCATTAAACCGAATCGAATTTAATCAATACAATCACCTTTTTTACGCCTGAATCTACCTTTTCTTTTATTTAAATAGTTGCTCAAATCCGTTTATCAACAATGGGGCTGAGCTACACAAGGTTATTGATAAAGAGGTGGACAAACTACTGAGAATTGGATATGGTATGGAGATCCAGCTTTCTAAATGACTGTCGAGCATAATGATTGTTAGAAAGAGCATTGATAAATGTCGCATGTGTATATTAACTTAGGATAAATGGGCCTTAAATGGGAGGAAAGTTTTTTTTTTTGGATCGCCTAGGACTGACCCAAATGTTTGCGACAGGAAGGAATACAAGCTCGCGACGCTCTTCTTTCCCCCCTACAGCAATAAGGGGACTAGTTGAACAATTCGCTTAAGAGATTAAATAGAAGGATTGAATAAATGTTCATAGGATTCTCTTTCGGCGGCTCTCCCAGGTCCCTCGTCTGAGATTCCTGGGGAAGAGGATTAAGACGACAAAATCAGGTATGTAAGAGGATGCTTGGATACAAAATTATCTCAAAAAATTCCAATCATTTTTAACTCAACTACTTTTTTTAACTCAACTTTAACTCAACCCCACTATCATCAATATTTTACTATAATTAAATATTATCAACCAATCATTTATACACATCACATCAACCTTAATTCACTATTCATCAACTCACATAATTTTAACTAACCATCACTTCAACTTCTCTCTCTTACTTTTTACATCAAATCAACTTTAATTATTTTATTTTAAATATTATTTTAATATACCCACTAACAACTAATCATACCACCTTTTTCAAAATTAACCAAACCAACCAAAAAAATCCAAACAAATCCAAAAAATTTTATATCCAAGCATCCTCTTAGTTTTAGATTAATTTATTCTGTATGACGTTGAATTGATATTTGGTATCTCAACATATTTAAAATTTTAAATGCATGTTTGGATACAAAATTATCTTAAAAAAATCCAAACATTTTTAACTCAATCATTTTTTTAACTCAATTTTAACTCAACTCCACTATCATCAATATTATCAATATAATTAAATAATATCAAATCAATCATTCTTACACAAAACATCACCTTAATTCACTATTCATCTACTCACATAATTTTAACTAACAATCACTTCAAATCTCATATCTCTTACTTTACATCAAATCAACTTTAATCATTTAATTTTAAATATTATTTTAACATATCCACTAACAACTAACCATACCAACTTTTTCAAAACTAACCAAACCAAACAAAAAAATCCAAACAAAACCAAAAATTTTTATATCCAATCATCCTCTAATAATTCCACAATACTCAATCACACACCTTTTTAGCTGACTGTTTTAAAATTTGAAAATATTTATTAGTGATTGCTTGACATTTGCTTGAATCTGAAAACATGTAATATATAAAAAGAATTTCAGTGGTGAAACTTTAATTTAGATCTTTTTTTTAAGAACCCGCATGTTGTCTTGTTGTGGAAAGAGTCAATACTACTGCTCATGCATGGTTTGTTTTTTAATTTTTTTGGTACAATGAAAGGGTCTCAAGCCTAACGACTCAAGTCATACACGTTTCGCGAATAAGAAACGCCAAGAACATCGTGATGAAGCCACGGTCGAACCCCATCGAGTGGACTAGTAAAGAACTGGTATTCCACCACTCCATCCGCAGCGAAGGCAGCCAAGTGACAAAATCATACATTTGATGTGAGCATTACCGCTCGAATAAGGAATCAACCCTTTGTTGTGGAACAAAACAAGGATAATAAGGAAATAATTGAGGCAATAGGATATTAATTGATTACATTTAAAGCATGTCTCTATATACTTATTTCCGTGTTGATAAGGTTAGGTAGAATCTGAAATAGGTGTGTTGTCTCCAATAATCAAATATTAGTATTTGCAGAAAGTGCCATCAGACAAACCATCTCAAAATAATAATAATAATAATAATAATAATAATAATAATAATAATAATAATAGGGAAAACTCCT